CCGTGTGAGGACGCTGCCGTGAGGACACTGCAAGGACGCTGCTGCCGTGAGGACGCCACTGAACTCATGGCCCTATGCTCGAGTAGCAGCGACCTTTCATTTAACCTGCCGCGACGCCGTGCCAACAGTTTGGTGGCGCCAGCCTGCGTGACTGTGTTGGCGGCCCTATCTCCGCGCCACGGGGCACGACAACGGCGCGCAAAAGAGAAAATAGCAAATAAAAATATAAACAAAACACATCAAAAAAAGAAAAAGAAATTGGCAAGCAGCTGTCGTTCCTCGGTCCGCGAGTTGGACTGACCGCACACTTCCATACAAATCCGGGCGGGGCTGCCGCCTGCCCGCTCCAACTTGGGCAGGGCCGGCGGGGGCGCGGCAGGGAGAGCCTTGCGGTTTGATTTGTTTGGGGCCCGGGGGGCCCTTGTCGCGTCTCCACTTCCCTGACACTTTTCCCCGCCCGATGGACGGCTACGGCCGCCGCCCCGCCGGGAATCGAACCCGCGCCGCCGGGCCGCGCCCCATAACGTCGCCGCGCACGTCCGACGCACTATTGGGTGATTGGTCGTGCGGCCCGCTGTGTATTGTCATGTTGCAGTGTCCGCCCGGCCTCGGCGGCTTGGCAGGTGGCCATCGCGCCTCGATAAATCTATCGCCGCGAGCGGGCCGCCCTTCGGCCGCCCTTCGGCCGCCCAGACGCGCTAAGGCCGGCCAGGGCGTGGGCCAGGGCGTGGGCCAGGGCGTGGGCCAGGGCGTGGGCTAGGGCGTGGGCCAGGGCGTGGGCCAGGGCGTGGGCCAGGGCGTGGGCCAGGGCGTGGGCCAGGGCGTGGGCCAGGGCGTGGGCCAGGGCGTGGGCCAGGGCGTGGGCCAGGGCGTGGGCCAGGGCGTGGGCTAGGGCGTGGGCCAGGGCGTGGGCCAGGGCGTGGGCCAGGGCGTGGGCCAGGGCGTGGGCTAGGGCGTGGGCCAGGGCGTGGGCCAGGGCGTGGGCCAGGGCGTGGGCCAGGGCGTGGGCCAGGGCGTGGGCCAGGGCGTGGGCTAGGACGTGGGCCAGGGCGTGGGCCAGGGCGTGGGCCAGGGCGTGGGCCAGGGCGTGGGCTAGGGCGTGGGCCAGGGCGTGGGCCAGGGCGTGGGCCAGGGCGTGGGCCAGGGCGTGGGCCAGGGCGTGGGCCAGGGCGTGGGCCAGGGCGTGGGCCAGGGCGTGGGCCAGGGCGTGGGCCAGGGCGTGGGCCAGGGCGTGGGCCAGGCGGAGGCGAGGCGCGCCCCGCCGAATGGAGTTTCGCAGGGATTCGCGGCGGGGGCCGGCACCGCCTCGGCACCGCACGGCACCGCGGGGACACCAGGCCGGTGCGGGGGCGGACAGGGCAGCCAGTCCCGCTGTTTCTGGTCCAGTACGGTCCAGTATCCAACCCGCCCAGCCCGCCTGCTTCCTGGCAGCAGCCTCCAACCCTCCAGGCCCCCGCACGCCAGGAATCGGAACGAGCAGGTCGCGGCCACGGCCGCGCCGCGTCATTTTGAATTCGCGCGCAAATTCAAGAGAAAGGAGGGAAAAAACGGCCGCTTTTCCTTTTTATTTCCCGGATGTTTATTTAGGCGCGCTTTTAGAGGCGGCGTGGCGCGGCGCGGCACGGCGCGGTGCTCGTCGCGCTCGTCGTCAATACTGACGTGCGGGGGACATCCGTGTGCGAGACCGGCGTGCCGCGCCTTCGCATGTTTTATTCAGCAGACTCTTGTCTGTTGCATATTTGTATTCTCTCTGGCATAAAGTTTCGCAATTTGCGTTCTGTCTCAGGGGACTGTTGGCGGGCCGGGCGGGCCGGGCGGGCCGCTGCTGCTGCTGCCCGTATGCAACTCCTGAGGTATGCCAATGCAGCCAGGTCGGGGCGTCCTCTCCACTTTGGGCCTGCCCCTGCACCGCCGAGTCGCACTCTGCCTCCCGTCTGTCCTCTTCCAGCCCCGCTTACCTCATATCTCCTCCCTCCCTCCCTCTCTCTCTCTCTCTCTCTCTCTCTCTCTCTCTCTCTCTCTCTCTCTCTCTCTCCCTCCCTCCCTCTCTCTCCCTCCCTCTCTCTCCCTCCCTCTCTCTCCCTCCCTCTCCCTCCCTCTCTCTCCCTCTCTCTATCTCTCTCTGCCTTGGCTCCTTATCATTAAGGGAGCTTTGCGACGTGTGCATCATCATCCTGTTGTCTGCCCCATCCGGCGATACCTTCCACGATTACTGTAGTGTCTATTCACACTGCAAACGTACTCCCGGAGTTTCTTTGTCCCCCTTTTTTGGGGCGCTAGGAAGTCCGAGACGAGACCGTTGTTGTAGCGCGGGGGGCGGTGGGGGGCCGTGGAGGGCCGTGGAGGGACGTATTGTCTTGGTGGAGGGGGAGGGGGCGGGCGCAATGAACGGGAAGGGAGAAGGGTTGGAAGAGGGAGAAGAAGGTTGTCGAATGAGCCGCCGAGTCACTTAATGACGTGGAAAATGGAACGGGAATCACCCCGAATCCCCCACTGGAGACGCGGTGGCGTCCGAAGCAGCGGGGCGGCAAGGCGGGGCGGCAAGGCGGGGCGGCAAGGCGGGGCGGCAGGGCGGGGCGGCAAGGCGGGGCGGCAAGGCGGGGCGGCAAGGCGGGGCGGCAAGGCGGGGCGTCAAGGCGGGGCGGCAAGGCGGGGCGGCAAGGCGGGGCGGCAAGGCGGGGCGGCAAGGCGGGGCGGCAAGGCGGGGCGGCAAGGCGGGGCGGCAAGGCGGGGCGGCAAGGCGGGGCGGCAAGGCGGGGCGGCAAGGCGGGGCGGCAAGGCGGGGCGGCAAGGCGGGGCGGCAAGGCGGGGCGGCAAGGCGGGGCGGCAAGGCGGGGCGGCAAGGCGGGGCGGCAAGGCGGGGCGGCAAGGCGTCGCTGCTAGCGGGGCCAGGCGTCGCGTGCGACTGCGCTGCCCCCGCTCGCTTGGGACGTGACGGTGGCCGCCGCCGGTGTCCACTGGGCTCCAGCCAGCAGGTCGCTTCCGAGAGTCGTTTTCGTCGCTCTGTCTCCCTCGCACCTACAGAGAACGCCGCATGAGTGCGAGAGAAACAGAGCGACGAGAGCGTTTCTCAGTGTGCAGCACGCTGACAGGCAGACAGCGACACGCACGCACGGGAACGGCATCGGCGGCACGGCCCACCTGGGACCATCGCCGGGGAAGTGCTCTCGCTGCGAGACGCCAGGCGACCCCGAGCGGCGATACTCCGCGCCAGCAGCGCCACCGCGCCGGCTGGAGCGGCGATACCCCTCGCGCGGCTCGCGGCGCTACTCCGGCTCGAGGGCAGCGCCACCGCGCAGCGGTAAGATAAATCTCATTACGGCGCAGAGTGCATTCTCCGAGCCAGTGCACGGCGGGGAACATTTTGACGTTATGTCAGGGCCGGTAGTAGTAGAGACCAGAGTGTTGGCGGGTGAAGTAGTCCCTCATTAATGCACTGACTGTGTTTCTGTGTTGTTGGTAGCGTGTAGGACACAGCCTACTGTGTAAACAATGCCACGGAAAAAATATACCGAAAACAAATCATTGGATGAAGAAGGACCTGGTTGGCGCAGGAGCTAACATTCGTCAGGGAGGCATGCTGTGTGTTGAAAGCGTTCGACGTGGTCGGTTAGAGTGCGGCCGGTCGGTCGGTCGGTTTCGACAGTCGGAAGCCATTCACATGGTGATGGCACTCAGCGCGTAGTCGTACAGCAGCGCTGACCACCGCAACAGAGAGGCCGCGACACCGCGGCAGGCGCCGCAACTGTCCCTTCCAGTGGAGGCTCGGCCGCTTCTGAGCTCCAGGGCTCAAGCGTTTTGAGCTCCAGGGTCGTCAAATGGGAGTCGAGCCGAGCGTGTGACCCCACCAATGGATCGCTCTCCGAACGAGGAATCCATCGGTGGGGTCACACGCTCGGTTCAAGTCCTGTTTAGCGACTCTGGAGCTCAAAACGCGTCTGGGGTTTTGGCCGCCTCCACCCGATGTGCGGCAGGTGGAAGGCGGGGAGCGCCGTGGCCGCGGGCCGCACCGCTACACCGGGCCGCGCGGCGGGACTGCCTACCGCGCAGGCGCTTCCGCGTGGCCGTCAGCGCGGCCACCGCGAGGCCCGCCCCGCCTAGGCCCGCCGCGTCGTCGCCGACCGCTCGGACACGGGCGTGCGCCGCACTGGCCGACAGGCGTCTGGCGGCGTGCCCGGCACGCGGCTGAGGCAAGCCGTGGCCGGCGTGCCCGGCGTGGCCAGCCCACCACGCTGTTGGCGCGCGCCGGGCGATATTGGGCCAGCACGGCCAGCACGGCCAGCACGCTCCGGGAGGACACAAACAAGCAGCAGTGACACCATTGCCGCCGGGACTAAGAACCAGGACCAGTGCATCAGGTGCGGGACGGCCGGCCCACGGTGCCAACCAGGACGCGGAGGGTAGGCTTTAGCTCGCTTTAGCTGGAGAGGACGACCAATGGCAGCTAGTATAGGATTTTTCGGCATGTCGACAACTTTGTGAGGCCGGCGCTCTCAAAATAAGCGTTGTCAAGACGTTCCTGAGGCGAGGATTTGGGTCCAAAGAGTACCTGGGCGTTGAGAGAAGACTTTAACCGCAGCTAGATTGGACGTGGTGGCCAAGGCAACCGCAGTATTGAATTGTTCGACATTTTGACAACTTTGCTAGGCGGCGCTTCCCCACTACAATGTTAAAGGCGTGGCATCAAAGAGTTGGACCCTTAGAGTACCAGGACGTTGAGGGACGCGGTGACCACCCACGTGGGAAAAAAATAAACAAAGTCGCGGAAATATTTCAAGCGATTGAAGGATGCAAACCTGGGGTCGGGGGGGCAGTGTAAGGGTGAGTGTCCCCGCAAGATAGCGCCGGCTGGTCGACCAGCCTTGAGAGCACTACAGAGCGCAGCCGCCCTGCCACGCCCCGGCCGCGGCGCCCGCCCCTGCCCCCCGCCCCTGCCGCCGCCCCCCGCGCCACGGAGTCTATATAAGCCGACGGCGCTCCCGCGCGCGTCACTGCCGCTCCATCCGCGCCCCCAGCAGCACCGCCACGGCCTGCACCTCCACGACCAACATGGCCAGGATAGCAGTAAGTCGCAGCGTCCTTTAATTGGTGCCCTTCCCTGCAGTCGGCCGCTTTGCCGGCCTCGCCCCTCCCACGCCCCGCGGCGGCGCCCCGCTGTTTCTGGGGCCCCAAACGGGGCGGGTGGTGCCATCATTAAGTCCGCGGCGAGGCGCTCTGCCGGCCTGGCCTACCGCGGCCTATCGATAGCGATCGCGCCCCGATTCCAATCGGACTGTCACTGTCACAAGCCCGCGCTGAGTGTCGCAAGCCCGCGCAAGCCCCTCTCCCACGACACGCCGCTGTAATAAGAGAACGTTCAGGCTAACGGACAGACAAGCAGAGAGAGAGAGAGAGAGAGAGAGAGAGAGAGAGAGAGAGAGAGAGAGAGAGAGAGAGAGAGAGAGAGAGAGAGTCATAAAGCAGGCTGCTGCTCATTGCGCGCGAGGCACCGCGTCGACACCGTCGTGTTAGCGCGTGCGAGTGCGGTGGAGGTGGTGGCCACTGGCGAACGGCATGCATCGCGTTTACGTGCGTCTACAATGACCCCATCCAGCCATCATCATTTTCGTAAAACGCAAGATTTATCGCCCTCGGTGGGAATCGAACCCGCGACCTCCGGCGTCGTATCTCGGTGCATTTATCGCCTGAGCTACGGCGGCACGCTATGTAACCGCCGCGGCTCGTGGCGCCCCCGTAAAGCCAGCGCCGTTAATTAAGGATGAGGAAGTGAGTAAGCTATCGAAGAGGTCCTTGTTGGGCTCGGCTGGGTGCGGACCGCCCCGCCCGCCGCGGCCTAGTCCTTCACAGTGGTGGCACGCGCGGTGACGACACTCGTGTCCGTGACGAGTCGACGCGTCGGCAGCATGCTGGTGGTGACAGAGGCTCTCGCATTGACCCAGGTCGGCGCGGCCGCCGCGGTGACCGCGTTGGAGCCGGTTCCATGTAAAATACGCGACGCTGCCACGCAGCGTGCCAGCCTGCCAGCGCCACTGGTATGAGGCAATTATGGCCGCCTGTCCACCCCACTGTAGGGTAGGCACTTACCGCCTATCAGGAGTAATTAGAGCGCCGCGCCATCCCATTGGCCGGCGAGTTTGCGCGCGAAAAACGAAGTGGGGGGGGGGGCGTGCCCTTATACAGTGTATGCGTTCTCCGGCCGTGGCTTCACACAATGCGGCGGCGGGGCGGGCGGGGCGACCCCACGCCGCGTCGCGGCCCTGCCGGCCTGCCGGCCCGGCGGCCAGGCCCTCGGCTAGGCCGGACACCACACTGCATAGGGAAGCTCGCATCGACCTACATCTCCGAGCACGCCGTCGAGCTAAACTGTGGTCACCACCATAGTGCCGTGCCGTGGCCGCCGTGCACGCCGTTGCGGGGGGCGAGCGAGCACCGGGCCCCCACGTGCGTTATGGACACCGTGCGGACCGCGTCACCGTGGCGCTGCGTGCGGGGGGACGCAAATCCGTATCATTGTGGCGAAACACACACACACACACACACACACACACACACACACACACGGCGAGAGGCCGGTGCCGTTCGACTTGGCACGGATTTGAAACCGCTCTGCTTTCCGTTGCCGAACGAGTCAATCACTCTGCGCTGCGCTGCGCCACTGGCGGGCTAAGCGCGCGGCGGTTGGTTGGTAAGCCTGCGTCGCTGGCGCCCCGCCCCGCCGCGCCCCGCCGCGCCACCGCGCCAAAACGTGTACAAAATAATGGTGCTTTTGCCGCGGCGGCGGCCGGCCGGACGGAGGTGTGGTCCAGGCCGTCCAGGCGGCGGCGGTCGAGTGCGCGAGTGCCGCTTGCCCGCGCGGCTTGCCGCTCGGTCCGACTAGACCGTGGTGGTGATGATGAAGAAACGGCGTCGGTTTCGTTTCAAGGAATCAAACACCGACACCGCGGAGCCGCCGCCACTGCCGCGTCGCTCAGTGAGAAGTAATCAATGCCAACCTGTTGTGCGGATGCTTTCGCGAGCGGCGGCCGGCGTTAGTGGCGGTTGTTGTTTTTGTTGTGACGCGAAGCAGAAACCTCGGGACACCTCCTAAAGCAGTGAGCGGGTAGCGCGGGAGCAGCGCACCTGATCAGTTTGCCTGTGTGTGAGTGTGGTGTGTTTGTGTTCGTGTGTGTGTGTGTGTGTAGGTGTAGGTGTGTCTGTAAGTAAGAGTGTGTGTGTGAGGCAAGTGGAGGGAGGGGTGGTGTTGGATGCTTGATACAGACAGTCACAGCAGTTTGCGACTTGTGCTCGCGGGGAATGCGGACACACACACACACACACACACACACACACACACTCGCAGACAACTTAGCGCCCCGGCACTTGCTGGAGAAGAGGGAGCGGTGGCCGCCGCCGCCCAGTCGATTATGGGCGTGTCTGGAGTAGTGCACAACGATACGGCGCACCGTCCCCCCCCCTCCCCCCGGCCCGCCCCTGCCGGTAATAAATAGAACGCGGTATTGCTCTTCATGGCGGAGGCGCGGGCAGTCGAGTGAAACTGCACGTCAAACCGTCGAGAAGTGGGCAAAGTTGGTCCGCGCGGCGGCCATGCCGCGCCACCTGTCGCTCTCCGCCCGGCCCGCGCCGCCTGCCCGCGCCTCGGATCTGGATCTGAATGTGGGATTTCGGACCGGCGATCCGACTCGCGGAACGAAGAGCGCTTTGCTTTAATGGTCTGCGAATGCAAATTGGATGATGTCCGGAACGCAGACTGGTCGGGCCTTGGCGGGCGCTGGCCTCGGAGGGATGTCTGCAGGAAGGCCCGGACGCGGTGCGAGCGGTGGCATGTCGGCCCACGCCGAGGCAGACGGCACGGAGCCCGGCGAAGCCACGAACCCATCCGGGCCGCCTCGAAGAAGACCTTGGCCGGAACAAGGACCTCGCAGCCAAACTGGATCATCCACTCGGTGCAGCTCCGAGGTCGGCCTCGGCCAGTCAGACCGCCGCGCCGCCGTCTCCTCGCGATCAAAAACGCAAATCGTCGATCGAGGTTTTCGTTTTTCTCGTTTTCCTTCGCAGTGTGGTGGCGCGATCGGCTTGCTCTTAAAACAGCATGATTCTGTTGGGTACACTTGCCCGCGACACCTGTTGCCTGCCCCGTCGCGGCGTGTTCAGAGCGGAGCAGTGCCCCCTCCTCCCCCACCTCGTGCAGCAAAAGGGGCACTGCACTGTTTGACCTCGCCGCCACCGCCGGACCGACGCCGTGGCGACGCCGTGGCGCAACGGGCGTCGCTGGAGACACTTGGGTGCAGTCCGCGGTGACAGCGAGCGACACGTCGGGCCGTCGCGGGCCGTCGGGCAAGGCAGGGCTGCAAAATGAAACTCCTAGAAACGAAAGCAGAAATCGTTGGAGAAAATAAATGCTCTGAGGCACGGACGTGTTGAGTTAACCATGCAAACGTACCTCGGCAGCTGGTGTTGTGACAGGAGGAACGGGGTAATGTAGGTCTGTGAATTGATTTGTTGAATTCTGACGCGGCATGTTTCGGCAGCACTACTGCACGCCTGTCGACGGCATGGCCGGGCATGGCGGCACCGCTACCGTCGTTTGATTCATGTCGATGCACTATTACTCTATACCTACAGCAGCACGCCCCGCCCCGCCCGCCTCACCCCGCCTCACCCCGCCTCACCCCGCCCCGCCCCGCCGCGCAATGCACAGTCGCGGTGGCGTCAGGCGACCCAACTTGGCCATGCATGCGACCAGCTTTAAGTTCCAGTTCCAAAGCTGGCCAAACCTGGTGGCTTCAACGGCGTAGCTTGGACAAGGCTGCGACGCTGCGACGCCATTTTCCACAAATCAGAACGTCGGGCTGCTCTGCTCACAACGACCACCGTGCTCAACGCGCCGCGCGGGGGCGTTCAACTTGTTGTCGAAGCGAGTTTGAGTCGAGTCTCGGCAGCGGCGAGCGGCCAGCTAGCGTCTCTTTCGCTGCGCACATGGATGAGCAGCCGAGCACAGCGACGTTTCCGTGGCCGCGAGCACTGCGCAGCGGACAGTGGTAGGCAGTTCCTGGGTTCGACGCCGCGCTTCGCAGATATCGCAATTGCTCTCGCCATTTTTTCCCTTCATCCTTGACACAACCGCGCGCGGCAAGGGCGGCAACCATTTATTGCCTCCTGATGAAAGAAACTAAGGCCGTCATTTGCATGGGTACCAGCTACGCAGCTGGCCGGTGCGTTTGGCTCGGTCCGGGAAGCATTGCGCACCGCGGGGCGGGGCGGCCAACAAGCTGCCCGCTGATGTGTGGACACGATTCGGAGCGCGGCCCGGCGACGTAGCAGTGTAGGTACCGCGGCGCGCGGCCACGTTACAGCGTTGTTTGGCAACCGCGGCGCGTAAAACGCATTCGGGCTGCTCTGGACGGTGCGCCCGGCAGCGCGCGCACCTCGCGAATGCTCCCCTAGGTCCATGCAAGCGGCTTAAACTGTTCCGGGCGATGCCTATCTGCCGCGCGGCCGCCCTGCTCGCCCTGCTCAACGCGTTGCTTGTCCTGTCCCTGGTTGCAGTCCCTGGTGGCGCTTACCGCGCTGGCCGCCTGCCTGAGCTGCGCGTCCGCGCAGTACCGCAGCAGCCAGCCCCAGACCACGCCCGTGCCCATCCTCAAGCAGATCAACAGGCACAACGAGGACGGCTCCTACAGCTACGGCTACGAGGGCGCCGACGGCTCCTTCAAGATCGAGACCAAGTTCCCCACCGGCGAGGTGCTGGGCAAGTACGGCTACGTGGACGACAGCGGCAAGACCCACGAGGTGAGTGCGGCGGACTCTTTCTTGTCCTTGTTGAACATGGCTTTTCATTTCGTTCCCTCTTGCTCTACGTTTTTCCCTGTTTCTTCAAATTTTAAGATTGAGTACGGCGCGAGCAAGCGTGGCTTCGAAGTGGCGGGGACCGGCATCAACGTGCCGCCGCCGACGCTGACCAACAACAACCTGGACAGCACGGACTACGACGACGGCCAGTACCGCGAGGACCCCAACATCTACCTCAAGGAGACCGCCAGCGGCGCGCGCGCCGGCCCCTTCGGGCCGCCCGCCTCCAGGCCCGCCCCCGCCGCCCCCGTCAGGCAGCAGTACTCGTCGCCGGCCTACTCGGCCGCCCCCAGGACGCCGTCTCACATCCAGCAGTACTTCTCGCAGGCCAACCAGTACAACCCCGCCCCCGCGTACAACCCTGAGCCCGCCCCCGCGTACAGACAGCCAGCCCCCGCCTACAATCCCGCCCCCGTCTACAACCCCGCCCCCGCCTACAACCCCGGCCCGTACTACAACCCCGTGCCCTACCAGGTGGACCCCAACCAGTTCCACGGCCACCCCGCCCGGAACATCGACATCAGGTCCGGGTCCTACTCCGTGCAGTACAGCGGGTAGAGCCCCGACCGCGGTCGCGCGCGAGCGTCGTCTGTCTGTACAAACCCTAGGCTAAGTCTGCTCAACCCGTGATAAGGCAGTTTCAAACGACGATAGGCTAAGTCCGATGCTGTCCTGTTAAGTCATCGAAATGGATAGAGATGCGCTAGTCAGGTTAGACTGATTTTTGCTATGAAAGGCTGCTTTTCAAACCCTTGTACATACTGAGCTCCAGCCTGGTGAAAAAGTGGACTTTCTATCCGGGCCACTAGGCTACCTACCTGGTGACATTGTTATCAAACCGCCATTTTGTCTCGGACAGCATAGTTTTAAGGAGAGGGGGTGCCTGTTGTGATATTCGTGACCATACACATTTGAGAAAATAAAGATAAACGTTGCCTCCACTTTGCGTGTCCAATTTTCCTTTCCTTTATTGTTTTTCCCTCGGATTCCCTGCCACCCCAGCGTCCTTGTGCAGCGGGTCAAAGGACTCGGGGCGGTGCAGTCTCTCCGGGCGGCTCCAGCGACATTCCAGCGCCAAGTAGTGATAGCGGCCTTGGACAGCCTTGGCGGCCCGCGACGCCACTGTGAGCTGATAATCGACCGATCGAACGGGAGTGCTGCAAGCTCGCGGCTTGGTTGGGCTCGCCGCGGTTCGGGGCGATTACATTGTTGCTTGAAGCCTGGCCTCGACACAATGAAGCAGACAACTTTGAAGAGTCCGTCTTTTAAAGGCAGGCCGTTAGAAACATTATGCAAAGCTGTAACACCTTAACTCCTTTTAAGAGGACAAAAATTTTAAACCTGATTCTTGTCCTCCCTTTGCTCAGCGCTTTCTGTTGGCTTGCCTACTCAACAGAAACCGAGGAAGACTACTGTACGCTTCCTGTTCGTTTAATACAACAACACGTTCCAAGGCGAAAACAACATGAAACAATGCCCCGATAAACGCAAAAGAAAAGATAACTGAATCGAATCTTTATTTTTCGTTCCCACGTATTCCTGCTCACTCGGCGTCCGTGGCACATCGCGGCCCATCGCCACCATTCCGGAGAGGAGCCGACGGAGAGAGAAGGAGAGAAAACTGGAGAGCGAGAGAGACAGGCAGCGACCAGGGCGTGAACACGGCGGCCTGGCCTTGCCATCCACATGCCGCGCCGGCCGATTACGTCTTACTTTATTATTGTTATTTGGAGCTGGCGCTGCCTGGGGCCATTCGCTTTACGCGACAGTAAACGACACCAATGCAGCGCTCAAATTGGGCCTCTCCAAGTGCGGCGTTCGGTTCGGATCCGCCGAGGGGCACCGGCAGTCAGCAGACTCATTCCGAGTCGCTTTTCGTCGCTCTGTCTCTCCCGCACTCGTGGGCATCCCGTAAGGGTGCGAGAGAGACAGAGAGGCGAAAACGACTGTCAGTCTGCAGCCGCGCAGGTCAAGGGGAATGCATTTTGGCACTGCACTGCAGGCTGATTCCGGGAGTCGTTTTCGTCTGTCTGATTCCCTCGCACTCAGGGGGCGTCCCGAATAGGTGCGTGAGAGACAGAGCGACGAAAACGACTCTCGGAATCGGTCTGCTGCGCTTTTTGAGCGGTCCGAGGGAGTGCATCGTGCAACGCGGGCAACTTATTACACTGCCGCGCGGGGCACTGCACTGCACTGCACAGCCCGAGGGAGGCGAGCCGAGAGGCGCGGCGCATTCCGCTGCAGTGCAACATAGCCGCGGTAAGCTGAGTGCATTCCGGCATACGGCGAGCCGCGGCCAGCCGAATGCGAGCCGGGTGTGAGTCCGGCCAGCCCGGCCAGCCCCACGCAACGCGCCCAGGATGCATGGGGCAACGCATCCGATGCGCGCGGCCGCAGTGCATTCCAGTGCAGCGGGTGGCGCTGCGACCATTGCCGGTTGCCGTTCCGCCGCGCTGTTTGCTTCTTCGCTCTGCCTCTCTCGCGCCAAGGCGGCCGTCCCATGAGTGCGAGGGAGACAGAGCGACGCAAAGGCGAGCCATCGTTTGTTGCAAGCGTCGTTCACCAACCGAGCGGCGAGAATGCTGCCCGTGCGCGCTGTGCGTATAGTAACAGGTGCAAATCGCGCGTACGCCCGACAGGCATCTCGTCACTTATGTCCGGCTGTGTGGGGTTCAAGGCGGGGCGTGGCGGGGCGTGGCGGGGCGTGGCGGGGCGTGGCGGGGCGTGGCGGGGCGTGGCGGGGCGTGGCGGGGCGTGGCGGGGCGTGGCGGGCGAAGTCGTCCCACCACTTCCTCTACGACGCCAACTTCCCTCTGCGCATGCCTGCATCCACAGTCGTACGCCTGCATCCTGTGGACTATGATTCCGAGGGTCGGTTTCGTCGCCCTGTCTCTCTCGCACTCATGGGGCGTCCTGTATAGGTGCGAGAGAGACAGAGCGACTAAAACAAATCAGTGAAATCAGTGAAAATGAATCAGTCTGCAGGCGCGCTGGTGGCGGCGCCAGTGGTGGCGGCAATCGGCAAACCGCCGCGGGTGGAGTCGAAGTCGGCGCGCGTCGGCGCGCGTCGCTGCCGCCGCGCCGGGTAGGCAGCCCATCGTGCGCCAGCGCGCGGCAGATTGCCGCGATTCCGAGAGTCGTTCTCGTCGCTCCATCTCTCTCACGCTCATGAGGCGTTCCCTAGAGATGCGAGAGAGACAGTACAACACAAGCGACTCTCGGAATCAGTCTACAGCGATCTGGTGACCGCCGCGGGCCGGACTACGCTAGGGCCGATAGTGCTGGTGGTGGCGGCGGTGGTGTCCGCCACGCTCTGCTGCAGCTGCTGGGTGATGCCTATCTGGGCCAGCAGCGCGGTGCGTGCGCCGGGCCGCGTGCCGTGGCGGTGCCGCCGAAAGGCGGACAGGCACGGCGTCGTCGTCGCCCTGGCCACTTTACGCGCCGTGGCGGTGCCGCCGAAAGGCGGACAGGCACGGCGTCGTCGTCGCCCTGGTCACTTTACGCGCCGTGGTGGTGCCGCCGAAAGGCGGACCTGGTCACTTTACGCGCCGTGCTCATGGAAAACTGGCGCCAAGAGGTGGCGGCCTGCCTGGCCTGGCGGCGCGGCGGCCGGTGGGGGCGATACACTGTGCCGGCACTGGAGTCCGCTGGAGCGCCGCTGCGCCGCTGCGCCGCGGCGCGGGGAATGTTCTCCAGAACGAGAGCAAAAGTGATGACGTACCGGGCAAGGCCGGCAAGGCCGTCCCGGTGGCCGGGCGTGGCCGGGCGTGGCCGGCAGAGAGAAAGACGAGGGCCGCGGGGGCCGCGTCGGACTGGCGGACGGCCAGCCAGGCCACCGAGCGCAGCGCAGCGAGTGTGCCGCTTGCTATGCTCCGGCCGACGTCCTGGAGTCCAGCACGCTGTCCAGCACGCTGTCCAGGCCACTGCCAACTGGGCACGGCGTACAGGCCACGGGCCGACCCACGGACCCGCGGGGCGCGGGGCGCGAACCGCACCGCAGTGTTGCCATACTCGGGGCGGAAGTTGACACCCTGGAGCGGCGAGGTCAGGCCTTACTACAGTGCACGCGGGATGCGCGGAGCCCAGCGTTACCTACCTAACTTAAACCTTCACGACGGCAAAAACGGCACCACCTGGTTTTCTCAGGTATCCTTTAGACATTAAGACTCGGGAACTAGAAACTTGAAAACCAGGAACCGTTTCCACCGTGTAAGCCGCAACCAGACCTGCGATATCGCACGGATGCAGCGTCGGCCGGCCAGCCCCGTCACTGTGATTGTTCCAGCGCGGTGTATTAATTTGTCGGCCGGCCGGCCAGCGGGTTGACGGCGGGGAAAAGTCATCACTCCGCTTGCCGCGGCTTGCCGCCATCGCGTCGCCCCCCGGGCCATCCAGCGATTAGCTTCGAACCAATGCCTTTGTCTTTCCATTTTGTAGCGCAAGGCGGCCTGCAGACTGATTCCGAGAGTCGCTCTGTCTCTCTCGCACTCACGGGGCGTGCCGCATAGGTGCGAGAGAGACGGAGCGACCAACACGACTCTCGGAATCAGTCTGCTGGCGCAGTTCGGTTCTCAAGGCGGCCGCCCCAAAAGGCAATACTAGCACGCCACTGACTTCGCTGACGCGTCTGTGACGGGACGGGGCGCTCCGCGTGATAGAAAGCGACAGTGCCGTGGGCCGCGTGGGTGAAGCCGGCCATCATTGGCAGGCACTCGTTCCCCTGGCCGGCAGACTGAGTCGTTCTCGTCGCTCTGTCTCTCTCGCACTCATGAGGCGTCTCGTGGCGAGAGAGACAGAGTGACGAAAACGGCAGTGCGATTCGGCGGACACTTCCCTGGCACGCCGGCCGAGAGTTGTTTTCGTCGTTCTGTCTCTGTCGCTCTCACGAGGCGCCCCGTGCGGGTGCGAGAGAGGCAGAGCGACGAAAACGACTCTCGAACGGCGTGCCAGGGAAGTGTCCGCCGAATGGCACGGCCGCGCGAGTGACACGTACCTTCGCGTGTAAGTGATGGCGTGACGCGCGTGCGTGCGCGCGGCGAAAATCGGTGTGCGATAACCCGCCGTCATCCTGGCGATTCGAACGGCCGTCTCTCTCGCACTCACGGGGCGTTCCGGTCCGGGCCGAGAGAGACAGCGACGAGACGCTGTTCGGTGTGTCAGTGTAGGGAAGGGCTCCACTTCCAGTGATGGCTGCAACACACTCCTCATCGTTGAGTGCACGCCAGTCCAGCGGCAGCGCGACAGCCGTGTGGTTAGCGTGCCGCCTCCTCGGACGGCCTGACGAAGGTTCGGTACCGGTCAGCCTACTTTTATCCGCTCTCGATTTTGAGTTCAAGTCCGACTCTTGAAGCATAGCGTGTCTTTAAAGTGCATTCAACTCCGCGCACCCACCCACGCGCTTGGCTCGTCCACCCCCTCCCCCTTTCCTGCATCCAGCCATCCACCACTCTCCGCGGAGTCCGCGGTGCGTTGGCAAACGCTACTCCAGTTTGCAGCGCTGCTGCAGACCGACTTCGAGAGTCGTTTTCGTCGCTCTGTCTCTCTCGCACCCACACGGGACCCGCCATGAGAGCGAGAGAGACAGCGCGACGAAAACGACTCTCGGCATGAGTCTGCTGACGAGACCGGCGCTGCGCACGCGCGGACGCGTGCAGTGTGGGAGTGGCATCACCTCATTCTCCATACTTTTTCATCATTTCGCGACCGATCGAGCCCCGAGCCCCATGAATCGCAAATGCGAGTCTGTCGAGTCTGCGCGGCGAACGGCTCGGCCAGCGCGCACCTTTGGTGGTTTGCCGGGTTGACTGGCCCGCTGCCTCGTCAGAGCAGTTCATTTCGCCGCTCTCTCTCTCTCTCTCTCGCACCCACACGGGACGTCGCATGAGTGCGAGAGAGACAGAGCGACGAAAACGACTCTCGGAATCAGCCCGCAGATCATGATGCGAATGCGCTGTGCGTGCGCCCCGAGTGTGTGGGCGTGCCGTGCCGTGCCGTGCCGTGCCGTGCCGACGACTTGGCGCCTGTGGCCTATCGCACGCCGGACTGCGCCGCGAACGCCGCGAACGCCGCGAACTCTATCCAGAGCAGCGGGGAGCGACCTTGCCTTCCGCGTCACGAGGAGAAAACACAATCAGCGATGAAAAAACGAATACACGACATTTATACCAGGCGCGCCGAAATGTTGCTGGCGTTTCCTGAAGGCGCCGGTGGTCCATTTAGCGGCCACACCCAGTCCAGTCATTAAGAGCGTGGCGGCGCGCTGTGCGCAGATGCCGCTTTTTTCCTGCTTCGGCCACCGGCCCCGCGTGGATCTGGAAAATGCGGGACGCCCCTGCCAGAAACATTAGCGCCTCCACGTCGCCCTGCTTGTGAGCGCAGGCAGTCGTTCCGCCGCCCTGTCTCTGCCGCACTCGCGCCTGCCCCTGACTGGCCGACGACCTAACCCTGCCCCGCACGGCCCGCATTACCTTGGTGACGGTGACGGGATGCAATGCGAGAGCGCGTGATGGCTATCCTCGGCCTTGGGTAGGGCTGGCCGGTGCGGGGCCAGGCCAGGCCGCCAGGCCAGGCCGTCGTCGACACCAGACACCAGGCAGGACCGCTCAGCCCGCCCGGCCCTCGGCCTGCCCGGCCCCGGCGGCTCGGCCGGATTCAACCCCAAGCCGCCTCGTCGCCGCACAGTGGGCCAGAAGACCGGTGGAGGCGGCCAAAACTCGAGACGCGTTTTGAGCTCCAGAGTCGCTTCACAGGACTCGAACGGAACGTGTGACCCCACTAATGGATTGCTCTCCGAACGACGAATCCATTGGTGGGGTCACACGTTCAGTTCGAGTCCCGTTTAGCGACTCCAGAGTTCAAAACGCGTCTAGAGTTTTGGCTGCCTCCCCCACTGGCGCCGCGCCCTGCCGACTGATTCCCGATGATCGGCGAAGGGAGACTTTGGGCCTCTAGTGGTAGGGAGGTATGGAGGCCCCTGTTTGGTCGAGGCCTCCCACTCGTGAACGAAACCCTCCCTTCAACGGTCTTCGGAATCAGTCGGCTGGCCCTCAACCCTTTCCGTTTTCAATGGGCAGCGCAGCGCCAAAGCGGGAGCGCTGCAACACTAACTACTCGTGTGATGCGGCCTCAACGAGGCACTGCAAGGAGGCACTGCAACGCGCAGCCATTACGCCGCAGTAAGTAATGCGTGACAGGCGAAGCGTTTTCGCCAACAAAATCTATCCGCCTGGGTGCGGCGGGCCGGCGGGCCGGGCTGCGCAAGGGCTGTTGCTCTGTGTGTCAGAAAAATCCTCTTACTTTGCGGCGGGAGATTCTTTCGCAGTGGTTCGAGAGTAAGTCGTGAGTACACGGCAATAGAGGACTTGGCACAGGTGAAACAAGAAGAAAGGTAGAAAAATCTTCACGAACGTGGGCGCCGTCGTCTGCTCGGACCAATCAGGGACCTGCTGCCATTTTCGTGAGGACTCTTCTTCCCTTCTTCTTGTTTCGCCTGGGCCAAGTCCTCCATGCCATTTCCGTCTCTCTGGCGACAGTCTTGACGGGGTGCCCTGGGCTCGAAGATGCATTGGGTCCGGCAGGTCACACTTCCCCGTCGCGAGTCCGGGACGAGGTCCGGGAGCATTATCGGCCATTGTGGGGCGGCTAGGCTGTCCGGTGCCTTGGCCGGCCCATCCGCCCATCCGGCAGGCAATGAATGGCCCTAACGATTGCCGAAGCGCCGCGAAGCGTGCTGCTGAGTGGAGCCTCTAGCCCCTCGTCGTGCTGGACGCCGCCACACTGTCACGCGCCGCCCGGGGAAGCGGACTCTCACTTTCGAGGAAATCCGACAAGCGCTGTCGATCAGAGCTATCGACGACGGAAACTTTAGCGAGGCAGTGTAGTGAAGTATGAAGGATGCTATAAGTTAGTCACTTAGTGTAGCTGAGCCCGGTATGATAAGCCACGGCGGCGGGGCCATCGCGCGGCGTCGGGGGGGTGCTGGCTGGAGGGGGTTGACGCCGTGCCCCGCGCCGCCCCCCACCTCCCCGCGCCGCGCCCCGCCGCCCCTCGCGGGGCACCCCTCCCCTCGCTCCGGCGGCGAGGTACTTAAGCGGCGGGAGACGCTCAGCGCGACCCCAGTCCACCACCAGCCACGGCGCCTATCAGAATGCAGTTCCATTTGGCGGTACGTAGAGTGCGGTGTCCAGTGCTGTGTGTGCATGTGTGTGTGTGTGCGTGACGTGTTGACACCGGCCGCTTCGCCGCCTGGACGCGCCAACCCAGCGGGCTCGCCAAGGACCGAAGGACCGTCCTCAGTGCTCGTTGCTAAACGGTTCGAAGCGTTCGGACCGCCGTGGAGGCAGTGCAACTCGTGCAACTGGCGCAGTGCGACGCCAGCGCCTCGGCGGCCGACAAGTGAATCAAGACCCACTTCCCAACGACCGAACGGCAAACAGCGCGACAGTGCGCCAGCGCACCGCTTGCGCAATGACAGTTTGGTTCTCAGGCAAATCAGTGCCGCCCCGCCCCGCCTCGCCCCGCCTTGCTACGGACGACGCGATGTCGCAGCAACGAAGCGCCTCTGCCGCGGAGCGTTTTGGAAAACCATGTCATAGGCGCTGCTGCTGCTGCTAGTGTAGTGTGGGCGGTGCGCCGCGCCACGCGGTGTAGTGTGTCTTGTTGTGGTGCAGATCGGCGGGCCGCTGAGATTGCTCCGCTTCCCCATCGGCCGTGCCGTGCCGTGCCGTGCCTTGCCGCCGCGTGGCGTGCGCGCTGGCCTGCATTGGGCCCGTAATGCTAGAGCTGGCGAAGCGGGCGTGGGCATGCAGTCGGCCTCATTGGAGGGCTGCAGGGCGGACACACACACACACAAACACACACAAACACACACACACATACACACACACACACACACACACACACACAAGTGGGACGCGTTGCAGGCGTTTCATGGGCGATAGGGGTGGCAGGGCGGGCGAGGGGTGGGGGTGGCGCTGGGCGTTGCCGTGCTCCACACCGCCGACTGCGGCTGGCTGCTCGCGGGCCGAGCCGCGGAAAATGAGTAAGCCAATCAGCACTGCCTCAACCAGTTTACCCTCCACGCCGTTTCTGTAAAATGACGCGAAAACCGACGACGGTTTCTTCTGATCATGCTTCGGTTCGGGCGCCGCCTTGGCCGCCGCGGCGCCGTGTTGAAACATGCAAAACAGCCCCTTTGCCGGTTGATGCATGTGCCGGGCCCATCAGGCCTCTGCCGGCCGGGGCATTACAAAAAGAGAAGTAGAGATAGAGATTGGAGTTGGGCGCGGGGAGGGCGCGGGGGAGGCATTAGGTGTGGTTGGTAGGCCATACTCCTTCCTGGTGTTTGGCCACTCGCTGATGTATGCACTGTGCAGCGCGTGGCGTGGCGTGGCGTGGCGGGTCCTGCATTGCTACGTCGGCCGGCCGGCGCGCCCAGCCAAGACTCCATCTGTTGTGCTGCAGCCGCTCCGTGGAGACACGCGGCGGAGACACGCCGCGGAGGCCGTGGAGGGCATCGCCAGGCATCGCGGTGGTGCACAGTGGGCCAGAAGACCGGTGGAGGCGGTCGAACCCCGAGACGCGTTTTGAGCTCCAGGGTCGCTGGGACTCGAAACGAAAGCGTGACCCCACCAATGGATTGCTCCCAGAACGAGGAATCCGTGGGTGGGGTCACACGTTTGGCTCGAGTTTTGTTTAGCGCCTGTGGAGCTCAAAACGCGTCTAGGGTTTCGGCCGGCGCCGCCGGTCTTCTGGCCCACTGTGTGCTGGGTGCCTCTCGGTGCCTCCTGCCAACTCGCCACCGCTGCTGCTCCGCGGCGTGCGTGTGCGTGCGTTGCCTCCGAAAAGGCAGCACCAGGCGAACGCAGCGAACGCAGCGAACGCCCATAAAGTTGTGAAATAAAATGTTTGGCGGAGCGGAGCGGCAGACTGATCCTGAGAGTCGCGCTCTCGTCGCTCCGTCTCTGTCGCACTCATGGGGCGTCCCGTATGGGTGCGAGAGAGACAGAGAGACGAAGACGGCTGTGAGTCCCCGCCGCTATCGTGAGCACGACGCTGGACGTCGCCCTTGCGACACGTGGCGCGCCGGGACGCGGCGGGACGCGGCCCATAAGGTCACTGCTTAAGGACACGAGGGTCCTGCGCCCCGCGCCCTCGAACCTGCGTTGAAGAAGCTGTTGGAAAGTGGGGCTCGGGGCCGCGGGGGCGGGGTGCGCGCGGAGGGCACCTCGCCGGCACGGCGACACGGGCCAGCCAGCCCGATTGAGACGGACTGCACGGACTGCATCGCAACGCGAGCTGGCGTGGTGCACGCTGCACTCGGCGGCCAGGCGGGGCGGGGCGGGGCGGGGCGGGGCGGGCGGGGCAGCCCCGTCACGATACATTTGGCACGGCGCGCCGCGACGAACCCCGCGAAGAACCTCGATTCCATCTCCAGCATGCACCCCGCCAGGCTGCAGCGGACTGATTCCGAGAGTCCTTCTCGTCGCTCTGTCCCTCTCGCACCTGTACGGGACGCCCCATGAGTGCGAGAGAGACAGAGCGACGTAAACGTCTCTCGGAATCAGTCTGCAGGCTGTAGGAAGCTCGGCGATAGAGGCGTTAGCGCTCGCATCGGCGCGTGCAGGCTGCAGCAGCCTCAAGCAGTGCGGGCCGCACAGTGGCGTGGTGACGGCTGAGCTGGGCGGTGAAGCGGAAGAAAGAGATGAGTTGGCTTTCCCAAAGTTACGCTGTGACCAGACCAGGTGATGGCTTTTTGCAACACCAACTCGAGGCAGTCTTTCCGCTCACTGGGGCTCGAGCCGCCTGGGAGGTAGGCCGCCGCGGGACAGGCGAGCACGGCCTGGTGGCCTACCCTCCGCTTCGCAGGCGCCAAGCGAACCCACTCCAAGCCCTCAACGAGGCGTCGAATCTTACTCGTAATGGTTCCAGCGGTTTGATCTTCACACGTGGAATACCTTTCGGTACCGTCGAGTATTCCATTCGAGACCTATCTGAGGACGCCAAGCGTAGAGCTCGAAACGTGTCGACAGTTACCTCTGCCTGAGCAGGTCTCGGTCTCCCGCGAACCGCCCCCTCCACTTTAGAAAGCACTGGCTGCACTTTGCTCTTCAATATCGCGATATGATTTAAATACGCTGAGCTTTTGACACGGGGCCGCAGGGGGCCGGCGAGCTCGGTGCTGGCGGACTGACTTCGCACTGCGTGGCTTCATCGCTCTGTCTCCCTCGCACTCACGGGGCGCCGCGTGCGGGTGCGAGAGAGACAGAGCGCACTGCTCGGAATCGGACCACTGGAGGGGACAGTCCGGCCGAGTCCGGCACACTGCAGCAACTCGCGGCCGGGCGGGTGGGTGCGCGCTGGCCGATGCACGTTGCACACTGCAGCACCACGCCGCGCCACGCATACCGCAAACTGCATCGCATTGCCTAATCCACTCTATCGATGGAAAGAAAATAGTATGAGCGCCGCCCGCGGCGGGCCGCACCGCACTGCACCGCACCGCACCGCCCTATGCGGCGCCGCACCGCACTGCACCGCACCGCACCGCCCTATGCGGCGCCGCACCGCACTGCACCGCACCGCACCGCACCGCCCTATGCAGCGCCGCACCACACCGCGCGTCGAGAAGCCGCGCGCCTCGCCACCACTTTAACGCTAATTGTTTCCAGCGCGTTGTTTTGTTTTCCTTTCTCTGTGGTTTCGGAGCGCGCATCGAGTTTGCTCGAATTTTTTCCTCTTCCTTTCAGTTACAGTGGGCACACTTGCAGTGCAGGCGCGTGGCTCCGTGACGCAATAGCCGTTGTCGGAGGTTTCGCGGTGGAGGGCCTGGCCTAGGGCCTGGCGGTCTTGCAGTGCACCTGCCTGCCTGCTGGACCGCCGGAAGTGCCGCCGTTTGCATCGGCGTCCCCAAGGGGGCGGTTGACGGCCTCCCCGCCGACGAGTCGTCGGCGACCCGGTCGGACCGGAACAGGACACGCCGGGCTGGGAGCCGCAAGGGTGTCGCCCGTCCGACCGGGCCCGTTCAACCCGTTCAACCCGTTCAACCCGCGCGGCGCCGGCACGGCGGCACCAAGGCCGACGTCAAGGTCACTGCCAAGGCCGCGTCGGCTCGGTCGGCTCTTTCGCGCACCTGTGTGTGGAATGTCGGCCACCGCGGCGCTGCACTGCACTGCATGATTGCGGTCGTCAAATTATGGAAAGCCAGTGCCGTGAAGGGCGGCCGACCGACCAGCCGACCGACGGCGTCGTTAAAGGCACCACGCCGCGGTGCCGTCGAGATGACGTACTGCTTGACCCGCTGCGGGGTGGAAACAAAACACGATCTTGGCACACGCGGCGCCGCGCGGCGCGCAGTAGCCGCCATCATGGGTGCGATCAGCGCGGCAAGGGCACTGCACTGCCTGCACTGTCTGCAGAAAGAAAAGGAGGAACGAGAGCAAAGTGCCCTGTCCAGGAGCGAATCAAGGACCTCCTGCAACTTAATAACCCTGTCTGTCTGCCGGCCTGCCCTGGAACTGCCCTGGCACTGGCCTGGCACTGCCCTGGCACTGCCCTGGCATTCCCCCGAGGCCTAGTAGAGAGGTCAATATCTGCCTCGCCCTCCGGGCAGGCGTGCACCGTCTTCAGCTTTTCTTTCCAAGCGGCTTTGCTCGGGTGTATTATCAGTTGACCTACCTTTAAGTTAACCTCCCCATGTTTTTTCTTTGATAATGCGAGCGGCAAGTACTTCTACTCCATCCCCTTTGTCCGCTCATCAACATTTATATTTAATACTTCCAACATTTCTGTTCTATATTTCCTTTTGTTACTTTTGAAGGTTCAACTGAGAGGTGGGTCAACTGACCCACCCCGCTTTGCTCCGCGCTAGTGATTGCAGTGTGGTCTCATTGGGCAACGACTCGGGCGATACACCGCAATGCGCCGCAATGCGATCGTTCCGTTCGGGGGGCGGATGCTCCCCGGGATGCTCCCTGAGCCCCGGGGCCGCCGAAATGAGGTTATGTCCCGCGGGTTATGTCCTGCACGGCGTGCACGGCCGCCAGTCACGTCACCCGGCGGGGCTTCCTCCGCGGCGCTGGCCGGCCTAACCTAACCTGCACTCGGAAATGCGGCACGTTTGGCACGCCGACTCGGTGGGGGACTCGGTGGGGGACTCGGGGGGCTTCAAAGGCCGGTCGGCCATTTCCGCTGGCTTCACCGAGGGCTTCACCCACGAAGGCAGCACGTGCTGCACCAATGCTGCACCACCCAGAACGACGAAAACTTTAAACGCGCTCCACATTCAAATGAGGCTGGACAACGCCCACGCAGTGCCGTGTCTCGCCCTGCCCTGCCCTGCCCTGTCCAGCCTCGCCTTGCCTCACAGGGCGCCGCCCACCGCGTCGTTGCACTGGCAAATCTCGCTCGCGGTGCGGAGTGCTCGGAGTGCGCACTGCTCGCAATAATCGGCCGCATTGTGTTTTTCATGCACGGCCCTCCACGTCCGCGTCGTAGGGGCGGGACACCAAAATTATCAAGTCGCCGCCATCGTCGTGCGGCCCTGCGGCCGCGGCTCAGTTCACACTGTCCTGGCCGGCAGGGCTCGCCCCGGCCCGACCCACCCCACCCCGCCCCACCCCGGCCCGCCTCGACCCGCCCCGCCCGGCAGAGGCGGGCCGAGCAATATTTCTCGCGCCATGAGATTTTCCCATGTTGGGCCGGCAGAACAATACTTCCTCCATTGCGCAGTCTCCGTGGCTCCGCGCATGGCCACCGTGTCCACCGTGCAGGGCAGGGCAGGGCAGGGCGGGGCGGGGCGGGGCGGGGCGGGGCGGGGCGGGGCGGGGCGGGGCGGGGCGGGGTGCGGTGGGGCAGGACACGCGTGTTTGCGGTCGCCCTGCGCGGCCTGCACTCGGGCCATGCCGCCGTGCCGCCGCTGCCCGCCACTCCTGTGCCAAGTCTGCGGGGCAGGATGCACGGAGTACAGTACGGTGCGCAAAGGATTCCATCAACACTTTCCCTCAATTCCGACTTAGGCCGCGGTAGCGCGAGGCAGCGCCCCACAGCCCTTGACATTATGCGCGCACACTGGACTCCGTTCCGTTCTACGATGATGGACGACGTTCCGGTGGAGGGGATGGGAGGGGAGGGAAGGGAAGGGGAGGGGAGGGGCTGAGGTCGGCGATGTGACAACCTGACAACCGCCGCTTAGCAACAACCAGGGGGCAAAAAACTGGTGTGGATTTGGTCTCGTATTCTTCCGATCAGCAACCATTACCGCTACAGACGGCCACGCTGAAAAAGCATTTCGCTTTGAGGGGTTTTGAACCCAGGACGCTGGCGAACATCCTTGGGCTGCGGCCGCGCCGTGCCTCCCCCGCGCCGTGTCCGCCGTGTCGTTCGGTATCAGTTCAATTTATCAGCCAGGTCCGCGCCGATCCGGCCGGGCTGGAGCATTCTTCTTATTGGAGGCGCCGGGCTCGTTGTTGCGAAGCTCCGAAGGGAGGCCGCGCCGCCTTGCCTCGCCTCGCCTCGACTCGCCTTGCCTGCCGCCGAACGCAAACAAGACGAGCAGAGGACTGGCTTCTGGGAAGGAATCCGCGGCGTGTTAACCGGCAGGCACGGCCACGCCCAGGCGGAACGCTTCGCGACCTTGCGCCCGGACTGTTCCTGGACTGTTCCTGGACTGTTCCTGGACTGTTCCGGGATCCCGGGTCGCCAGTTCAAGACGCATGGGCGGGGCCGGGCTGCCGCGGTGGGCTAGCGGTGGAGCGGAGACGGAGGCGCCGGCTGCGGCAGGCTGGCCGGGCCGCGCCACCGCCCGGCCGGCTCCGCCGTGGAGGTAGGCCGCCCAACGCGCGTGCGCGCCGCGGTGGGGGGGACGGCGACGGCGTGGCTGGCGCGCACGATGGGTGGCCTACCTCCATGGCGGGGCAGCGGCGCGCCAATTGTTTAGCGTGTAGGTGCGTGCGTGCGTGTGAGTGTGTAGGCATGTGTGCGTGTTACGTGATTCCCGCAATATTCAGTACGGCCCGGCCGGGCGGCCAGGCCCCACAGCGTGACGTCACGCTCGTGCTTTTGGAAACAGAGTGACACGGTTATGCGGCGAGTCACGCAACCGTTTTGCCGCGTGCCGCGTGCCGCGATGACTGTAATTACGCACTGAGGCTAAGTGAAAGACCCGCCTGTTTGCTGCGCGGCTATTCATTTTCAGCTGAAAACACTTTAAGTGAAAACTCACCTTTCCACTGACTCACTATTTTCTCCGTTTCCTCGTGCAGACCGTGGTGCTCGCCACCCTCGTGGCCTTGGCCTCCGCCCAGCGGTTCGCCGGGCCCAACCCCAACACCGTCGACGAGTACGACTACGAGGACGCCGGAGCGCAGGCGCCCGTCAGACCGCAGCCCCAGCCCCGGTCGTACGCGCCCAACCAGGCCAGGCTGAGCGCCACCCAGCCCAAGCCCACGCCCATTCCCATCCTCAAGCAGATCAACAGGTAGGCCCCCGTCGAGGAAATGGAGTGCTGCTCAGGTGCTGCGCTGCCCCTGGGGCGCACCTGTCTTTTTAGGGAGTGAAAAATTGGTGCTACCAGTGTGTCCGAGGGTCCGAGCGGACGGCACGCACCTGCACGGTCCTGCATTACACACATGGCTCTGAGGCAGGGGGAGGGGGAGGGGGGCGTTTTGCTGGAATGCGTCCGGACTGTCGCCGTCAGTGGGGCAGCCGCCCGCCGCCCCGCCTCACCTCGCCTGCCCCGCCCCACCACGCCACCTCGAGCAGCACTACATCGGGAAAGTGGAGCATTCGATTACACCGCGCCGCGCCCTCGGCCGCGCCCGCACTCCAGGCCAGGCTAGGCCGGGCTAGGCCAGGGTAGGCCAGGGTAGGCCCGACTAGGCTACGCCAGGCTACGCTACGCTAGGCTACGCTAGTCCAGCTCTAGGATACGCCACGCGGCGCAGCGCGAGGGCCGCCGACCTAGACTGCTGGCCTGGCCGAGTCCGGCGAGTCCGGCGAGTCTGCAGCCCGTTTAAAGGATACCGAGTACTTGCGCGGTTTCATAACACGGAAGACAATAACGGGCTGGGGATTTGCCGGGCGGCCGGCCAGGCGGCGCGGAGAGCCCGAGAGAGGCATTGACAACTTTACTCCGTGTTTTACAAGTCCGAGAGGGCCGTCGTCGCCGTCGTCGCCGTCCCCGTCCACTCGGCGCGCCGCGGACCCGTTTCGTTTGGCGGTGTCTCCTGTTGCGTCGCCCCCCGCCAAACGGCCGGGCCTCGGCCGCCGGGCCGCGTTTATGTCAGACAGATACACTGGCCCTCGTTTCCGACGGATTGGATGATCTGTTTGCGCATGCGCGGGGCGGCGCGCGGGGGCACCCAATTGCCAAACGGTCGCTCGTCGGCGTCGCTTGCCCGCTTCGTTGTTTCGACATGCCGTCTAATTTATTTATTTTTTCTTCCACCACGGCGGCCAATGAGTAGCCAGCCGGCCGGCTGGGGTGTCGCTCGAGCCCCCGGGGCGGTCTGGCGGTCTGGCGGCCTGGCGGTCTGGCGCGCGCTGTGGCACGCGGTGTGGCAACGCGCTGGGCGAGGCGAGGGCCTGCACGGCGACGAGGGGCTCCCCGACGCACGTCGGCAGCACTCCACCCTGAGCTCCCCGTGCGCCCGCCCTGCTCGCTGGCGGTGGACGAGGTGGACATGGCCTGAAAGGTGGGGGTCGCCGGGTCAGGGCTGCCCGCCTTGGCGCGCCGCGTTCGGGCGGCACTTCACTCTGTCTCTCTCGCTCATGGAGGCGCCCCGTAGGGGTGCGAGGGAGACAGAGTGGTGGCACGATGACGGCCGCGCTCCATTGCGGCCCTGCGGCCCTGCGGCCTGCTGCCCCGGGCCGGCGTGACACTGCCGTGTCACTGCCGTGTTGGACGCCGATTCCGAGTGGATTGGCTCGTAAAGGACCTTCTCCAGGACCGCGCTCCGCTCCGCAGTCCGCGGGGCGCATCGCCTTTACGGCCGTGTGAAGCAGCGCGGCAGCGGACTCATTCCGAGCGTCGTTTTGGTCGCCCTGTCTCTCTCGCACCTAAACGGCACGCCGAATGAGTGCAAGAGGGACAGAGCGACGAAAACGACTCTCGGAATCAGTCTGCAGCGCCGCAAAGACGAGCAGCCGTTTGTTTAAGTCCACGCCGTAAAAGAAACCGGCGGCGATACTCCACTGCGCTCCGCGTCGCGGGCCGTCGCGGACAGTGCGGGGCATGGCGAGGGGTATGTTCGCGTCGCGCCGCGTCGTCGACAAATCGGCCGGACGGCGTCCTTGCGCAAGTCACTCCGCGGCGCGGCGGTGTCGGCGAGCGGGGGTCATCTTTACCCAATAAAGTCGCACCCGATGCATAAGTAGGAAAAGAACAACGCGCTGCTCTACTCGTTTTTTGCGAAACGTGTCGCTCCGCGGCCCTGCCGGGCACACTGCCGGGCACGCCGTCGAGAGGGAGGGAGAGTGATGGGTTGACAACACTCCCTGGGCGACTGAATGTAAATCAGAGTCAGCCGGGAATAATGATGACAGATCGGCCGGCGAGGCAGCGGGCACGCGGAGCGCGCGGAGCACGCCGCCAAGCCTGGCCGCGCGGTGGGCCTCCCGCCGTGGTCCGGCGGCGGCGACTCCGATGGCGGATACGCGATGGCCCGGGGGACCCACGGCACGCCGTGCCACGCCCCGCCACGCCCCGCCACGCCCCGCCACGCCCTGCCACGCCACGCACCTCCTGCCAGACAATAGAGAGTAATGCCAGGCGGGGCCGTCCTAGACGTCCTTGGGGGCACTCGCCACCTCACGCCCGCCACGCCGCGGCCCGGCGCACGCCGCCCCGCCCCGCCCCGCCCCGCCCCGCCCGGCGCGAAAGGCTGCACACATCCGGTTACGCTAGCGCGGCGTGTCAATGGCGGCGATCTCGGACACCGCGAGGCTCGCGAAGTCGCGTGCGGATCCCAATGCGAATAACGAATGACGTGTCGTGGCGGCGCGTGGGCTCGGGGCGGGGCGGGGTGCGGCGGGGTGCGGCGGGGTGCGGCGGGGTGCGGTGAGGCGGGGTGCGGCGGGGTGCGGCGGGGTGCGGCGGGGTGCGGCGGGGTGCGGCGGGGTGCGGCGGGGTGCGGCGGGGTGCGGTGAGGCGGGGTGCGGCGGGGTGCGGTGAGGCGGGGTGCGGCGGGGCGCATCATCTCGCCTTGTGCCGCCGCCACCACTCGCATTTTAGCGGCCCACCACCGCGACGACGACGACGACGACGCCAATTTGCCCGGCACCAGGACGGCGTCGTCGTGGAGGTCGCGGCAGGCAGGAACGGCATTTCACTTCCCGACGCCGTGCTTTTCTTTGCTTTGCGTGGTTACGGAGACAAGCGGCAGGTGAAATTGGAGCACGATGCTGGTCTTCACTGGGCTTTGCTTGCCTTCCCGCCCCGGGCGCGGCTGTCCTAGGCCTATAACTAAAACGAGAAGAATGCTGTTCGCCGGGCACAGCGTCACTTCGGAGAAATGGACTTGTTGTTTGCTCTTGAATGTGTTCTACCAATTGGGAATCTTAAAGTATTTTTGGTACAGTTTGTTTACTGTCAAATTTAAAAAGATTGACCACGGATGTTCTATGGAGCAAGTTGCTGTGGGTCGAGCCCAGAGTCCATCCTCCAACAAACCCTGAAGGAGAAAGCCCCTCCCCGGCAGAGATATTTTTTTCTAAAATGGCGCGTTACGAGATTCCCAGGAGCCGAGCCTGGAGCTGCCTTTATTTGTCCCCGCTGGCCCGCCGGGACAAGCGGGCCTGCACTGCAAGCCACCGCGCTGCGAAAAGGAAAAAGGCGAAACATCGGTGCGTCGCGGTGCCGTCCCTGCCCGTCGTCTCGGCCCCTCGGCTTCTTTGCCGCGTTACGCATCGCCCCATCGGCCCGGCCGGGCGGCCGGCCCGCGCCATGTGACAGTTGCTTACTTAGTTGTCCGGGCCGCCGTATTTGGATCGGGGCGCTGCAGTCGCTGCAGTGGCCGGCCGAGCCACATCGCCGCCAATTATGTAATTCGAAATGGACGCGCCAGTCTCGGGGGAATGCAGTTCGCGAACAGTGCTCGCACTCTCCCGGGACGCCCCACGAGCGCGAGAGAGACAGAGCGGCGAATCCGGGCGGCGACACGCCGCGGGCGCGGGGCGTTAATGTCCGACGGGTTGCCGACGACGCGGCGGCGCGGCGCGCTCCGTGAAGTGCCTCCAACCGCGCGACGTTCGGGACGTTGGGGAATGGGAGCAGTCCGGCAAGCGTCCCGTCGCTCTGTCTCTCTCGCACTCGTGGGGCGTCCCGTAGGGGTGCGAGAGAGACAGAGCGACGAAACGACCCTCGAGGCGGCAGTCCAGCAGTCCGGCCTGGCATCGGCATCGCCGGCATCGCCCACAGCAAAACATTGGGTAACGGTGTGACGCGGCCACGCGGCCAGCGATCGCACACTGCACGCCGGGGAGTGGAGGGGAGGGGTGCTTGCTCTGGAAGCACGCACACAGGCCGGCCGGCCGAGCGGGTCGCGGGTGTCGCATGACGCGATGACGTCCAATAAGGAGAGACGGGCACCGGACGGCCAGCGCGGCCAGGACGGCCAGGGCGGCCAGGGCAACAATTGCACATCGGCTGCAGGATGCGACGCAGCCAATGGACGCGTTCGGACGATGGTTGTCTCTCCAGTGAGCAGCGCTTCGCGGTTCTGTCTCTCTCGCTCTCGCGTGGGGCCTTCCACGGGGGCGCGAGAGAAACAGAGCGGAATCATCGCTGTTCGGAGTCGGATTACGGACGCGGCCGGCGTGGTGCGGTGCGTGAAGCGTGAGCGATGGTCCCAATCTTTGTCCGGACCCTGGGAGAGCTTTCTTTCCTCCGCTTACGCGTGTCGGCCGGATGCCGGCTCCAATGTGAATGCGGACCTGAATGTGAATGTGATGCTCGCAGGCACAACGATGACGGCTCCTACACGTACGGCTACGAGGGCGCCGACGGCTCCTTCAAGATCGAGACCAAGCTTGTCACCGGCGAGGTGATGGGCAAATATGGCTACGTCGACGACTCCGGCAAGGTATGCGCGGACCAGACCGTTTCCCCCGAAAAATGCGATACGAAGATGTGAATGTGAATGTTAATGTGAATCTGAATGTGGCGGCAGGTGCGCGTCGTGGAGTACGGCGCCAACAAGTACGGCTTCCAGCCCGCCGGCGAGGGCATCACCGTGGCGCCGCCCACCCTGGTGGACGAGACCCGTGTCCCCAAGGCGGGCAGGGCCGGCGGACTGAGCGCCGCCTCCCTCAACGCCGCCGCGCCCTCCATCGAGTCGCAGGAGGACATCTACGACGACAGTAAGTACGGCAGGGACCGCGGACTGGGTGTGCAACCGGACTCTGCTCACGTGGCCACTCTCTGTGTTCGCAGGCCAGTACTACGAAGAGCCCGCCACCGCCGCCCCGCGCCCCGCCCCCGCGCGCGCCCTGCGCCCCCAGCCCGCGCCCCGCCCGCGCGCGCAGACGCCCCAGTACTTGGAGAACTCCTTCAGCGCGCCCGCCGGCAGGCCGTCCGCCATCCCCAACAACTTCGCCCAGTTCACGCAGACCACCAGCTTCGGCACCGCCCCCGGCCTGGCCGCGGCCCACGCCCTGCCGTCGCCGAGGTTCGCCGCCAGCCCCGTGCCCGCCCGCGCCCAGATCGCCGGCGCCGTGCCCGCCGGCCCCGCGTACCGCCCCGTCAACCCCGCCCCCGTGAGCGAGCCCTCGCAGCCCCAGCAGGCCCTGTTCGTGCCGCAGTCGCAGCTGCCCGGCCTCGGCCAGCACTACAGCCCCGCCGCGCCCGCCCCGCTGCCCCGCCGGCCCGCCCCCAGCCAGGGCGGCGGCCTGCTGGACCAGCTCGCCAGGGACTACGCCCTGCCCCAGGGCGCGGGGACGCCCCTCGTCGACACCTCGTTCGGCGTGTACTAGACGGCCTGCGCGGCGCAGCGCGGCGCAGCGCCAAGGACTGACAAAAACATCGGGGAGGCCAGGAGTCGAACCTGCAACCCTCTCGTTTCGACGCGTGGCAGCTTGACCTCTCGGCCAATGCGTGCAAAACGCGTATGGGTGTGTGAGTGTACAAAATAGGATTGCAGCGATCCCGCTTTTAAAACGGGAATAATCGCAGAGTCAAAGCAAGAAAAATCAAGCTGTGTTTCGATGAATCTTGCCTTTGTCTCTAATTTTAGTCAAGATTGTCATGCCTCATTTTGTAAGATTTTGTGTATTTTGTGATAAGTTATCTACGTAGAAATTAATTAAGTTGAAGAGCCATTACAAAAAATACTGTTGTCCTCTTAAAATACAAAAGCGAAAAATGTTCAATCAAATCAAGATTTTACTGCCGGGAAAAAATGATGGAGTTCTTCACTTATCGAATATGTTTTGTATGTGATACTGATATCCATGTAAATCTCATATCCATTCTTATCCCTACTCGTATGCAGTGTTACCACGTACTGTACATGAAAGGCCATCTTTTCTTTATTTATCATAAATGATAAATAAATTGTTTGTTTTTTTCTACAAAACCTATTCTGTTCATTTTTATGCACTTTATATCCACCTTTATATCCACCTTTCCACGGATCAAAACGAGAATAGAATCATTCCCTGCGATCAGTCGCCTCGAGTGTGTGTGCGTGTTTCAATGTTATGGCGTCTTGGCTGACTGCGTGTCGCAAGGTGCGACGGCCGGCCAGACCGGCCACTACATTCTGTGACACGAATCACGCCTGTGACCCGCAAGTGCAGCACGAGAACGCAAACGCGCGCGCGCACACACACACACACACACACACACACACACACACACACACACACACACACACACGCACACGACATTTTTCAATACCAAACCTGGCATGATGGCTCGTTATGACGCCGAATGGACTGGGGATCAATAAAAGGCGCCGTCAGGGTTCACGCCGCCCATGCCCAGCTCGAGGTGGCGGTATGGGCCGCCCCATGCGAGGCCCGGGAGAGGCCCACAGTGCGCTGGAAGCACAACAATCGCGTTTCCGCCTCGTCGCGCTGTGCGGCGTGCCGGCATGCAGGGCTCCTCTTTTTTCCCACACGACGGCGGCCTTGTGGTGCGGCCGTGCCGGCCGTGCCGCGTTGCGCGCGCTTCTGCCCGGGGCGGCCCGGACGTTGGCGCTGCGTGGCGCCGCGCGGGTCAGAGGCCAAGGAGGCCGATCATTCTGCCCCGTCTCTCTCGCGCTCGCGGGGCCCGCCGTCGGGGCGCGAGAGAGAGGCACTGTTTGGACTTGGGGCCGGGTAGCGGGCAGGTCAATCTCATCCTCATCGCCGAATCGGCCCACGCCGCCAAAGCACGCTCGGCTCGCGTGTGCAAATTAGACGATTTGCGATCGGCGGGCCGTCCCGCGTGTCTCGCGTGTCTCGCGCTTTTCGGGATTTCCGCGTTTTCCCATGTTCGGGCTGGCCGATAAATCCGCAGTGTGCGTTACCGCCACCGACGACGGCGAGCCCCCGCCGAGTGACAGAGTCGGAGGCGGGGCCCGGCCGACGCCGCAGCGCCACGTTGCGAAGGAAACCACTCCGGCTTTAGTGCCGCGTCCGCCGGCTGCTTATCACCGTCGATTCCTGCCAATGCACGCGCCGAGCACGCCGAGAAGGTCGCCGGGCAGCCCGCGTGGAAATGAGCCCCGCTGAACTTTGCTCTGGACGGTAGGCGCGCCCAGGGCCCAGGGGCGGCGGCGGGCCGCGGGCTGGAGTGCGACCTTAGACACGTCATGCAGGGCGGGGCGGCGGCAGTGGTAGCCAGTGGCGGCAATACAGCGGCGCGGGTCAAGACCGCCGAGGGCTCGGCCGGCAACGCCACGCCACGCGATGCCGGTTCACCGCACTGTTTCTTTCTCTCCCAGCCTAAGTGCCGCCGGTCTGGGAACACCTCCGCCGCCACACTGCACTGCCCCGTTTTGTCCGCTAATGCCTATTAACGGGGCCACTAATCGAGCGGCCGGACAATGCGACTCGTTACTGAAGGCGCGTTAACGGCGCCGCACTGCCGCGCTGGCGTCCGTTTGCCGGACATTTGAGACAATGGCGGGTAGGCTGGAGGCAGATCTAAACCGGGCTGGGCAAGGACCGGCAAGGACGAGCGAGTGAGAGAGACATGATGGACGGCCGGGACGACGTCCCCGTCGCACTCTCGGTGGCGCGCCGTGACTCAGCGGACGGAGAGTGCCGGGAGCGCAGCGCCAGGCAGCGCCACCGGCCGATGACACGCCGGGCCTTCACACACAGTGCATTAGCGGCTGCCTGTCATCGCCCCGTCTCTCTCGCACTCACGAGAGGGCTGTGCCAGGGGTGTGACAGGGACAGGACGATTGCGCTGCTCGGTACCAGGCCGCAGCGGCCCGCGGGGTGACACGGCGTCAGCCTGCGGGGTAGGCCGCCACGCGAGGCACGCGTGCCCCGCGCCGCCAGGCGGCCTACCCCGCAGGCTGACGCCGTGCTCACAGACAGCATCGGCTGCATTTTGCGGAGATGCGGTACGTGTCTCGTACATGCCGCGCTGCCCAGATTTTAGGCCGGAAAAAATCAATAAAATATAAGTAGAGGTGCGGTGGCTGTCGAACCCGCGTCGAATAGGGCACCGCTCTTTAAATGTTGGCCTGCGCCTATGAGTCCGGTTTGCTGAGAAAAGACTACAGTGGAAGGGGCTCTGCTGCTGTAAAAAGGTTTATGGGGTCGATCAAAACTCAGTTGAGTGTCGTGATATGGTGATATACACCCTCCGTGGACGGCCTCGCTCGGATCGGCTGCGCGGTGCGCCCCGCCGGGCCCAGGACTGGCTGGGCCGGGAGGGGCCGGGCGGGCCCCTTTCCGTTGCGTGGCGTGGCGTGGTGCGCGGAGGTCAAGGTGGGGCCATAAAGGCAGCACCGCGGCCGGCGGGCGAGCGGAGGCACCGCGCCCGGCCGACGTGCCTTCGGCTGCGTTTGGCTGCCCGCCAAATAATGCATTCGCCGGACGGGCAAACGCACAGCGCGCGGCAGGATGTGAGCAAAGACCCGAACGGCGTGATGTGTGGAGAAAGACTTGCAAAACCATCGCCTCACACGTGGAGCGCGGAGCGCGGTGGGCCGGCCGGACAGCAGACGGGCTCGTTCGTTTCCCGTTATCAGCATCCGTCGTCGCAGACGCGCGCCCGCGTTGCGTTTTGGTTTTGGGGAGGCGGTAACGAGGAAAAGCGGCCGATATGTAACGCTGCAGCTTGTCCGAGCGGCTGGTGAAAGGGGCCGCCTCGCCCTGCCTGCAGGCTGCGGCGCGGACAGGTGGGCTCACCGTCGAATTGGCCCTTCACCTTCGCCGGGCACAGTCCCTTCGGTTCCCGCCGCCCGGCTGTCCGTGCTCCCGGAGACCTGAACGCGCGTGCGAGGGCGAGGCGAGCTGGGCGGGGCCGCGGCCGGCCGGGCCGCACCAGGACGCGGACGCGCGGACGGCACAGCACTGGCACAGCACTGGCACAGCACTGGCACAGCACTGGCACAGCACTGGCACAGCACTGGCACAGCACTGGCACAGCACTGGCACAGCACTGGCACAGCACTGGCACAGCACTGGCACAGCACTGGCACAGCACTGGCACAGCACTGGCACAGCACTGGCACAGCACTGGCACAGCACTGGCACAGCACTGGCACAGCACTGGCACAGCACTGGCACAGCACTGGCACAGCACTGGCACAGCACTGGCACAGCACTGGCACAGCACTGGCACAGCACTGGCACAGCACTGGCACAGCACTGGCACAGCACTGGCACAGCACTGGCACAGCACTGGCACAGCACTGGCACAGCACTGGCACAGCACTGGCACAGCACTGGCACAGCACTGGCACAGCACTGGCACAGCACTGGCACAGCACTGGCACAGCACTGGCACAGCACTGGCACAGCACTGGCACAGCACTGGCACAGCACTGGCACAGCACTGGCACAGCACTGGCACAGCACTGGCACAGCACTGGCACAGCACTGGCACAGCACTGGCACAGCACTGGCACAGCACTGGCACAGCACTGGCACAGCACTGGCACAGCACTGGCACAGCACTGGCACAGCACTGGCACAGCACTGGCACAGCACTGGCACAGCACTGGCACAGCACTGGCACAGCACTGGCACAGCACTGGCACAGCACTGGCACAGCACTGGCACAGCACTGGCACAGCACTGGCACAGCACTGGCACAGCACTGGCACAGCAGCGCCGCGGACGTCGCTCTCCCGCTGGGCCAATTCGCCAGGCCTTCACGACCCGGTCATATATTTTCATTCCGTCCCTGCCGACGCGAAAACATTGTCACTCGCCTCGCTGTGCCGCGTTCCACGCCACGTGTGCGTGTGTGTGTGTGTGTGTGTGTGTGTGTGTGTGTGTGTGTGTGTGTGTGTGTGCACGCGCCACAAGTTCTCACAAATCCAGCCGCTGCGTACCATGCTGTTCCGTGTCGGCCTGTCGGCGTAGTGGGAGTGCTGCCGCTGCTTCTGGGAGTCGGTCGGTCCCCCGGCCCGCCCTGCCCCGGCCCGCCCTGCCCCGGCTCATTATATATTAGGAGATGTATGGGGCCTTTGTGACGTGGGTGTGTGCGCCCCACGTGGGGCGCCATGACGTAACGCGAGCGGTGCCCTAATCCGGACTGCGGGAAAATCGGTTGCAAATTTTCAGCTCACCTGAGGAGGAAAGTGAGGCAGTAGTAAGGTTCCCCCTGGGTCAGCCGCCGCCGTCTTGAACTCATCCCCACCCAGTTGGCCTCGCCCAGTGGCGTTGCGCTGGGGGTTCGGGATGGCGGCGGCTGACCTGCGGGTATCTTACTACTGCGCGTGGTTCGCAAGAAACGATGCTGAAACGGGGACGTCTCATCGGCGAGGTTTCAACGAACTGGCCGCGGCGGCTAACCAGGGGCACGTCGTCCTGCAGTGCGGGGCGGGGCGGGGCGGGGCGGGGCGGGGCGGGGTGGGGTGGGGCGGCAAAGCCGATCCTAATTAATGATGGCCAGCCCCGCCGGCCTCCCCGGCCGTACAATGCCTTTCCGCCACTTAGCCGCCACGCAGCGGCAGGTGCAGACTGTGCAGACTGCAGATCCAGACGAAGAAGGTGCCAACAATGGTGCGTGGCGTTGCGGCGTTGCGCAATGCGAGGCCCTCCGAGAATTCGGCCGTCTATGTCTCATTTGCATGTCCAGGCGCGGCGCCGCGGGACGCACCGCCGCAGGTCGCCGTCGTCGCCGGTATACGTGCCCGCGGCGTGGCGGCAACAATGACTAGCCCCGCAACGCCCACGTCAAGCCGGGCACCTCTGCACAGTGGGCCAGAAGACCGGTGGAGGCGGCCAAAACTCCCAACGTGTTTTGAGCTTCCAAGTCTCTAAATGGGACTTGAAACGACCGTGTGACCAATGGATTGCTCTCCGAACGCGGAATCCGTTGGTGGGGTCAGACGGTCGTTTCGAGTCCTATTTAGCGTCTGGAGTTTTGGCCGCCTCCACTGGTCCTCGTTGTCGC